GGCTGCCCTTCGAGAAGAAAAGAATCGGGCCGACATAGCGCAATCCTTGCAGCCCCGTTTGTGCCAAAAACGCGGGGGTTCGTAGAAACACACTATGCTCATATCGGTTTGAGTCGCGTGAATCACGCTTGCTGCATGGCCGAGGCGTGGTGGCTCTGCGGAAACGGAGCCTTAGGCCCGTTTTGTCTGAGACGGAATGCCTGTCGAGCGAAAAACGTGAGTAAGTCTCGGTGGATACCAGACGGCCCCGTAATATCGCGCCATCGTGCGCCACTTCCTTTGTTAATTATTACAAAAAACCGATATTTATTAAGGCATCGGCAGATGCTCGATGCAAGGAGATGAAGCGCAGCTGCCTCGGGAACTTCTCAACACTCTCGGAGAAGAATAATCAGTAATGATCCTCGCTGTTCATCATAAGTTATCCTCGGACTTATCCAGATATCGATGTCCTATCGGCCGAGGCACCAACCCCACCATGACGGCTCAGGGGCTTCCATCCTTCCCCAGATTTCTCTACACCCCCGCCCCCCCCCCCCCCCACCCCTCACCCCCTCTCCCCACCACTCTCCATCAGCCCCCTCCAAACCATACCCTGCAAAGAGCGTTGGAATACTAGACTTACCACAGCGTAGGCACCGTGCTGCCGACTGCGGCGCTGGAGATGACGAGCTCTGACGCGTACCATGTCTGCAGCTCCGCAGCCCACTCTTGATGCCTGTCGTCGCGGTCGAGGCCAGCGCGAGAGGACTTGGACTCAGGCCACTAAGCAGAACCACTGATCAGGCATCGCGGTGCAAAAAGACGTCACTTGGGCAAGTGAACGCGCCATACAAACCTTACAGAAGCGGAAAAAACGCATGACTGCGAAAAGAGCTGTTTACGATAAGCTGATCGCTCAGCAGGTGACGGTGATGAGTTCTCGCCGTCAAGGTCCCCGGGCGTGGTCGGGGCTCGGAGCACGTACCAGCTCGCCCACAAGACACCCTACCCCTTGCTATTATTAGTTTCTCTACCGTCTGCGACTCGGATGTGAGCTTGGTAGAGATAGAGGTTAGGAAAAGAAGGATACTAGCGATGTGATTAGTCGATATTATTACTGTTAGTTATAGGCTCAAGTTATACTAGGAGATTACTTCTCATAGCCAAATTATTACCTAAACTAATTGGTAGAGCTCTAGACTATCCAACTATAAAAGTCCTTTCCTCTATATACGTATTCATCTCTCTACTATAGCCGTTACATTACTATAAACACTAGTGAGTATTATAAGTGCTGTTTACCTTGATCACTTGTGAGCCGTGTGATTAACCCCGTGACTACATTTCCTAATCGAGTAGCCTCCGTGCGCCCGCCTGGTTACCAGGCTAGGCCGCCTAAGGCTGCCTTATATCATATGTTACAAATCGTTTGTCCCTGGAATGTGTCACGAGTCATGTAACGGGTCCAGGACGGGCATATTGATAACACAATCAGGCGGCTGCTGCAAGTATAGCAATGGCAACAACCAGTAGTAATCTGCAATCAGCAGAAGCTGTAAGCTCCTGGAGAGGGGCGTTGCCGCGTTGGTGATATCTAATGGAAGATCCCACGAGCACTAGCCCACCACACAAAAGAAATCTACGATTCGCAAACGCTGTTCGGGTAGGTGGCGCTAAGTTTGCCACAGCCGCATTTAGTCACGTACAATACGTCCTAGGGAGAACTTGTTGAGTCAGCTGCCTACATAAAGATCGCGGGACGAAACCAAAGCTTTCATTATATTGCGCGATAGTCTCAAATACTCATATTCAACCCCTGTCCGAACCTCCAAGCCGCGCACTGCATATCTTGTCTAGCTAGGCTACTCACCCGAGAAGCGTTCAAAGCATCTGTGATAGAACCGCTTCATAGACATTTTGCAGTAGATAGCGATTCAAAGCCATCACTCAGCCGGTGATATCGTTATCATAATGGTCTCTGTTAACGAAGTACGTATGACTTACTACCTCAACCATAAAAGATCCCTGACTTCAAACACAACGAACTGAAAACTCGATTCGGTGGTCGCACCTGGGCAGAGATTCTTCGTTTTGTTTGGAGCATGAATTGTGGCTTCGAGGCAATTCTTGTGCGCCTATCTCGAATAGTTTTGGAGCGCCCGCCAGTTTGCTTCCATCACGGAAGTGACGCACTAGCGACCAATTGCAGCTTTCCTGCTTTCGGATTGCTAACTAACAGTCTCGTAATAAGCAAGGCAATTATAACTCCATATGAAAGCAGGAAGAATATTATTAGGAGTTGCATCTCGATATTCGAGTATAGAAGTTCTTCGAGTAGTAACTGACATGGGGACGGGAGAGAGGTGTGATAATGATTCACTACTCCCTTTTAAATTCAGCGCCAGAGCAGCCTGTGCACCAACTTTCACGTGGTCTTTTCTATCTAGTCCTTCGGTCGCCACGTTTCTCCAAGAATACGAGGACGTGGCGCGAGCACAGGTAGCATTGCGAGACATGTCTATGCTACTAGGAGTAATGCGAAACCATTACGTCAGTGGACTTTACCAGGTAACTCCGGGAAGACGGGTATGTATACTTAGGCAGCACGCGTCAGCAGGTAAGGACCTCCATCATACTTAGACGAGCGCGCAATCAGTGCGTTGCCTCGGAATAATAAGAGTACGGGCAAGGTGAGATGCGAACTCGGTAACCACTTCCGCAACAGCCAAGATTATCTGAGCGAGTCGCGTTCTCTTTTAAAACAGATGAACTATGTAACGTGCTAGTATCAGTTCAGCGCGAACGGCAATGTCGACGTCGAACGTCGACTAGGCTTAACATTAGCACGGCATCGTCCCCACATATATAGTAGTGTCACATGTGCTCTTACTATACTAACAATTTAAATCAGCCTATTTCGTAACTATTCCCGTAAAAACTTCCGTAACAGCCTAAGGGTTACCCGGCCCGGTCGTGTCGTCTCTTTAACAGATGAGCTATGTAACGCGCTGGGATTAGTTAAGCCTGCATCAACGGCAATGCCGACTTAGATTAGCATTAGTATCCTATCGTGCCCACACTTATATATCAAACATCAATTTAGTAGATGTCTATAATTTCTAAGTTAAGTGATATAGATGTACATATGTAAAAAGCTGCAGCGAGAGCTCTCCTTAGGGACTCTCCTTTTCTCCTTAGAAACAATCGCTTTATCTAAGTTATACTTGACCTTATTCCTGCCTTATAACGTCTAGTCGACGTTCGACGTCGACATTGCCGCTGAGCTGCGTTAAACTAATATTAGTATAATATATAGCCTGTCTATAACAAAAGAGGACATGACTTAGTCGGACAACCTTGGCTGTTGCGGAAGTGGTTACCGACATCGCATTTCACCCTGCCTGTATTTCATTGCCTATTCTATACTTATAATCTCGACCCGTCGCGGTGCGACCTGTGGGAGTATTCAGAAGCCTTAGGGATAAATCAGGTATAGGCCGAGTCTTCGGGCTGTGGCGAGACCTACTAACTTATGTCACTAGAAGTGACTTAGCAATATCGATGGCCTTTTTCTTGCCCTACTTACTCCTGACGTCGTGTTCGGACTTTGTATGGTATTTTTATCGGATCACAGTTATTTTGCACAATGTAATGCGTCCTTCTTGCTCTCTAAGCTGTTCGGAAGTTAGCCGCTTTTAACGCTGAATCCCTTGCGACGCTGTGGGTTGAGTGCAATTTCGTGTCCGGACTACCCTGAGAATTCTCTACACTGGTACTATTCCACTTATAAAAAGGAAGTATCCACGTTCTCTATTATCTTCACTTGATTCAACATATATATAAAGAAGCAAGATGAACGTCGTAGAATCCTCACGGATTCGCTGGTGGGGGAAGGGGGAACATTTTGGGAAACTCTGTACACGAATTGGTGACGTTATATGCATCCTTGCATCGCCTCTGCGAATACGAGGAAGTTGTTGACATATAAGTAAGCCCTAATAAGCCACCAGAAAGCAGACGGCGCCACCGTTTTGCTACGCGACAGAAGTGACGTGGGTACTAGCATTGCGAGTCATGTCTATGCTCTTCAGAGTAACAGGCGCTACGTTCGAGATGGGACGAGCATACAAGCAGTACGATGCCACAGAATAGCAAAAGTAGGATAAGGTAAAATGCGATTGTGGTAATCACTTCCGTAACCGTTAAAGGGCGTCTACCTGAGTCATGTCTACTCTTTTAATAGACTAGTCATGTAGCGCCTTAGTATCAGCTCAGCCTAGATTAACAGCAATGTCGACATCGAACGTCGACTTAGTGTGACAGTAGCATAGCCTCGTCTTAAGCTGGAGGATAGTGATAGTGTCCTCTACATAGTCTTCCTATACTAGCATGTATTGAAATAAGCCTGGTTTATAACATACGTAACAGCCTAAGTTTGTCCGACTCAGTCGTGCCCTTTGTTTTAATAGACGAGCTTAAAGAAGTGCTAGTATGAGTTAGACTTAAATTAACGGTAATGCCGACTAGGCTTAGTATTAGTATTTTTATGCTAGTTATCATGCCTAAACGTAGGTTTCAGTTCTTATATACTTATACTATGCCTTTGACTGTGGAGGAGCAAGAAGGTCACGAGATCCCTAGGGAAGAGGGACAAGGAAGTTACTAGACAGCACATATCATTTTGCCAAGGAAGGAAGTCAAGCCTGGTACTCGCCTGCGCCACAGTACCTCTAATACAGGCCATTTTCCGTGTCGCCGAAAGTGCCGCGCTTTTGAGATACCTGGTTAGACGGAATCCCTGTAAGTTTCATGCTTGCTCCTCTTTCACAGTCAAAGAGATACTTACAACTTTGACTCAATCTATGTAAAAAAAGAGGGACTTAACCTGATATACGAGTCTATAGCATAAGCTTTATGATTATGGCGTGATAATGAGTGTACGCTGCGCCTTTTCTTTACTACTTTAGTCTAAAAACAAGTATATATATATACATCAAAGATTGCAAAAGAATCTAATCTTGACAAACTCATTCATCAAGTCGTACTACCAAGTTCACTACCCGCCTTACTCGAAAACCTCACCAAACTCTCAGTTATTTGAACACTTTAACAAAAATGAAGACCTTCTCTGTGCTTCTCCTTGCTATGCTGAGCAGTTTTGGTGCCGCTGTGCCCGTCGTGACTCCGGGTGGCTCCGTAAGTCCTGAATCGATCTATTGCAGAAAATCTTACTAACTCATCCAGGACAAGAACGACGCGTCTCGTAAGAATGCCAATGTGGGCAACTCCTACTTGAGCACTCTTATGGAAGACGAAAACCAAAACTGGGGATACGATGACAGTCAAGAACCGGAGGACAACAAACCCAACCCAAGGCCTGTTAACTTTGATACTTTTTCCCCTCCTAATGGCAAAAGTCGCCCCTCTAACGAAGCCTTTGTTGGAGAGGCTTAAGAACCAATGTATTCAGGAGAGCGATAAGATCCGAAATGACTGCCTGCAGGCATAATGCTAGGCTCTAACGAGCTCTCTTACAAATACAGGTTGTTAGTTGCTGTCGCTGCAGCCAATTCTGGCCGGCCTCACGCACGAATATCAACTTCTAGTTCTTGTTAGATAGTCAGAATGAGAACCAAGTCACGCGCTCTTGTTCTGCAACCGGCTTTGGGCTCTAGAGTGGAACTTCATATCACGTCGAGGCCCCCGCAACGTGTGGCTCCCCTGCATTTCACCCTTTTTCGTTGGCTTATCATCGATCCAGTCGTCATGGTCGCGGGAACCCGGTAGAATCGCGCTGTGGCCCCCTGGGAAGCTTGGTTAGCTAACCCGTAACGTAACCAGTTGAATGGCATGTAGATCTTGAATACCTTCATGCATTGATTAGGGTGTCAGAGCTAACACGCGGAGTCTGGGCACCATCGCCACTCATTACCCGCTCGTATTTGGCCATGAGCGCTCGAATGCGATCCCCGTTATCAGCAGGCGGGATTGTGGCAGTGCATCCAGGAACATGTGAAGAAGCGCTGTTCGGGGTTACAACGCCAGAACCAGAATCCAGACCAGAGTTGGCCTCAAGCTTCTCTGTCCCGCAAACCAATAGTGTATCACAAGAGTTAGCAGAGCTGGCTGGTGAGGAAGCGAGCGAGATCGGAGAGTCTGCTGAGCTGCCTGACCTCTGGGAAGAACTCCCCTCTGAGCAGGAGTCGGAGAGTTACAACAGTGAAAAGTACCCGACACAGTAGAAGCTCCGGTGTCCCATCAATTTGCGCAATATCTGAGCATGTTCTGCGGACTGTATACCTCCAACGCTCCACCAAGCAAGAAGTTTGCTGTGCTTCACTCACATCAAGGCCCTACCGATGGTTATGAGCTTGTCAAAGACTAGTTTATCAAAATCTCTTTTCTAATAATATATTTAAAGGACTTCTCTAAATAAGAGAGGGTTAAGTTTCTTCACATGATGGCGATTATCTACGCTTCAGTCAGGCTCTTTTACCAGATACTCGGGCTAGGGGTATTGGACGGTATGCATGAGATCCTCTTATACATGGGCATTTTCAAACGGTCTTTAGGCCGTTTGTTCCGTTGTATATCTTTTTTCGCGCATTAAATCGTTAACCCTTTAGTGGAATCCTTCAACCGTTTGAACAGTGGAACCATTAAGCCGTTTTTTAATCGCGTGTTCTCCGTTGTGTCCTTAAGCCCGTCGATGATCGATGTAGGTCTTAATCTACGCTGGCAAGGTCAAATCTCGCCTGGCTTGGCTTGGCTCAGGTGTTAGCCTGCCGGTGCTGAGGCTGGCAACGCCACCAAATGAAACCAATCTTGACCGCAACCCCGAAATAGCACCAACTCCCTATGAGAAGCAATGTGTCCAACAACCAAGTTCACCAAGATATAGCCTCCTTACTCGACTTAGTTACCTCAGGCCTTTGCTTTACTTAGTTAGTTATAAAAAGGTCCTTACTTAGTTAATATTACTTAACAGCTATTCTATAATAGGTAATTTTATAGTAAAATATAAGTCTAAAGTAGATATATCTAATATATAATTACTATAATAATATCTAATTAAAGATAATGCTATTTATTAGTAATAACCTTCTTTATTAATAAGAATATTTACTTATACTTAGTACTTATTACTAGGTAACTAAATAAATTAAGTACTATTTAAGAGAGGATTAGATAGTAAGCTATATAAGTTAATAAGATATAACTAGGCTATAAATATAAAAGAGAAAAAGAGTTCTTAATTAATTATCTATAACTATAGGCTACTAGTAGATATATATATACTTTACTATATTTTTTATATTAATATAACTAGCCGTTATAAGATTTTTAATTTATTATTTATAAGCTTTTTAAGTAAATTAAAATAACTAATATTTAAAGCTTATAATATATAAGAAAAATAAGTAAGTATATAGAAGGTAATAATCTTATTTTTTAGTAAAA